CGTGTGCTCTTCCGATCTCCCCAAAACCCCAAAACCCCAAAACCCCATACAGAGCTAGATCTAATATCTTTGTCAGTCGGTAAATCTTAAGAAATAAACAGAATAAATAATGTATTATGCCAGTGATTAAGTGTGTGCTCAGAATTTATTTTCAAATACTTGCTTTAGAATCTTCTCAGCCATCTCTTTGTCGTATAAATCTTACTTTTCACTCATAGCTTTTTGATATCCTCTGAGACTTAGAACACGGGCATCAATCTTTTTGGAAAACTCTGTATTTACTTCATCTAATTCAGGAATCACTGATTCTCCTCTTTCTAGAAGTAAGAGATTGGACAACTTTTCATTATTTAGAAGATCATTATTTAATTTAAAATTCTTTTTCCTTTCTGGACTTCCTCTCCTTGGAGAAACTGGAAGAGATGAGTGTTGCTTTAACCAGGGTTTTATTTTTCTCTGCATCTTAATGATTTATGAGGGAACATAAGATGATCTATCTTCTCCATCAATTGGGTTAGTTTATGTTGAATTTAGGAAAGCGTTTTGGTGCATCTATTTAATCTTTTTATCTATCAATGCTTGCTTTAAAATGTCTTTTTCTTTTTGGAATTTGACTAGAACATGATCCCTCAGCCAATTACTAATAGTTGCTGATGATAAATTCTTTTTTAAACAATCCCTTGTAAATCCTATCAATTCAACGTTTTCAGATCCCGCAACCACATTACAACTTACAACATGATTTGTAAGGATTTCTTCCTCTCCAAAATACTATCCTCTCGAGATTATCTATATAGTTTTATTCACTTTCTAGGTAACTGTACTCATATTCCACATTTGATGACCCTTAGGCCAGTAATTAGTGTATTGCACTTGAATTTCTTTTTAAACATGAACTGTTCCATTTAAAACTACCCAAAAGTACTTCGGATGCTCATTTTCTTTATAAATATTGTCTCCTTTCTTGAAAGTCTAAATATTTACTTCATTGAGGAAATCATCAAAGAACCCTGCCGTTTGATCTTTTAAAAAGGGCAAAGTACCCAGGAATTTCATAAGTTTAAGCTTCTTTTTCTTTAGATAATCTTCCATCATCTTTTCATAGATCAAATTCCTTAACTTTAACACTATGACATCATCTGATTCACTCTCGTAAAACCTATTATCAGCAATTACATACAATGAATATATACTATTTTTAAGTATCTTTAAATTAAGGATCATCTGGTTTCAGGTATTTATCCATACATATTAATGCTGGAGCCTAGACTTTGCCTATAATTCTCCTATCTGTCTTAGACTTTATAAGTATATTTCCCTTTACTAAAAAGTAAATGTTCATTAATCTCAATATTTATCCAGTAGATAAATTCATCGTTTCTAGCAAATTTGTCATTTCCTGATAAAAAATTGGGTCTTAATTTTTGAATAGATTAAACTAGGATAGGTATTTTTCCATTCTTTAATAGTCTTTCAGACTTCTTTCATTTTTCCTAAAATCGAATTAGACTTATATAATTTTACATTGCTTCAACAATCTATATTTCAGTTCTATCACTTGATTTGAGTATATCTTAATATCTAGTTTCAACAAACTCTTTAAAATCAGATCTTTATTGGATTTCAATTGGAAATATTGTCTGCTTAAGTTCATTAAACTAGCTATCTTTTTTTAAATACTATAATTTAGTTGCGAAATCATTAATCTGTCTTCTCTCTGAGGTCTGCTTGGGTCTTGTTTAAGATGATGTAAAGACCTCAGATGTCTTTTTCACCATATCTTCTATTTTTGTTTTCAGGTAGTTTTGAATATAACTCCTTTAGACTTCTTATTCATCTTTTCTTGCTGCTTAATTGAAAGAGTAATTTAGGAGAACTTAATCCTCGTTGTCTTGACTACTCTTATCAAATTTCGTGCTTTATCTTTTATTAAAGTAAAGTATTGAAGAAGGGCTGGAATGTTTGCTACTTAGATTTAACTGTGGAAAAGCATCATCAAGAGTAAGCTCAACTTGCCCTTGCTCATCTATCTATGATGTAATTCTTTTTATTTCTACAGGATTCAAGGAATTAACTAAGGTAGTCAATTCCATTTTGAAATCAGATACTGTTTTCTGACTCATTTTTTGCTTGACTTCATTTATTTTTTTGAAGTTATCTTTTATCTGTCTTAATTTATTTGTTACTTCGTTTTTAGATTAGTAATCTGCTTAGTTAGTATTTATTTAAATGAGATCCTTGCTTTTATCAAAAATTTGTACCTCCTTTATCAGATTCTCAATCTTCAAGTTGATTTAGTCATTTATGTTCATAAGCTTTTCTCTAGATTTTTGCTATGAATTCTTGTCGACAGCCTCTTTGTAGTTTGACAAGACCATTTTTCTTCTTTATGAGCCTTGAGGTGATTCCACCCCAGTTATTAAGCCATCTTAAATACTGCCGAGTTTTCTTCCAAAGAAACCCATTCCACCAGATCTGATTGCTTAGTTTTTAGATTTTTTGCCTTAGTTTTAATAAGCCTGCTTTAAATGAGCATCACTGTAGTCAAATTACGGCGAGTTCATAGAAAGTGTGTCATCCTAACCTTTCAAATTGTCTATCTATGACAACGCTCTGTATCTATCTCTAATTTGCTTATATTCGCTGTTTTTGTGTTTTCTAAAGCTGTTGGGCAACCTTGGCTTTGCCTTCATACTTATTCTTATAGCATCTAGTTACTTATATTACTATAGGTTATGATGCTTGTGGAAATCATCCTCTATTTTAAAATCGTGCATCGAGGAAATTCTAATCTTTGATATTTCACTAGGGTTTATAATGTCGTACATTTTCGGTTTGCTTGATCCCTAATTTAGAGTGTCATGACGTAAAAATATAGAGTACCTTTTTCATGGATGAAGAGTAATAGCTTGACATCTTTGTTGATTTAAGCTCAGTCAGGGCATCCTTAATTACAAGTTCTTTGAACCTGTCGTTTTTAGAGTTTTAGGTAGTTAAATTCATTTACCTCTAATAAGTATTGTTTAAAAGTAATATCGATTTTTCTGAATTTACAACTTATAAATTATTTTCGTTTTATTTTAAATCAATCGAAATTTCTGCAATATTGGAGATAGGGGTTTTGGGGTTTTGGGGTTTTGGGG